ACTGACTAAACCTTTGCCTCAAGTGAAGCACAACAAGCACGTTGAGGCAATGGGAATCAAGCATGTTGGAGATTGGCTTTGATTTCCCTGTATATGTGTTTTAATTAAACTGGATGTCTTAATGTAAAACACTATGTTAAAATCATTCGGTTTTGGAGTAATTTAATTTCCTGCAAAATTATTATCACTCCATTTCTATTTAATTGTGGTTTAGAATTAAATAATGAGTCCATTCGATTTGAAGAATATTCAAGACAATGTATCAAGACAATGTCTTTGATAAGAAACACCTGTTAAGTGAACATTGAATATTTCAATCGAAAATTATCCCTAATCAAGGTCAATTAAATGATGGACGATTAATGACCACTTGAGATTAGTGTGTAGTATGATTTATAGTATTGTTTCTTGTGCTGCAAGGACATGATTGTCATAAATCATTTGCACAGGTATTGGTTTGGAGCCGTACCGGATCGACCTAAGAGAGTACTTTAATAGATTTAAAACCGTCATAAGTACATTTCTCATTATAGCTATCGAAATTTTTTCCTCGACCATGAGTATTGTAAGTTCTCTTGTTTGAGTACTAGTCGTTTTGATATTGTCAAACGTTTGCCGTAAAAGGGGATTATAAAGGCGACACTCGAGCGACTAGGTCCTCTTAGTAAGGGAAGCGTACAGTACAAGACTTGGAATGTCCCTCTATTGACAATAGGGAATATGTCGTTATTGTTTACAAGGCCTCTCGAAGAGCGAGACTGTGAAACTGCCTCGCCGTGCTCAGATGATTTTAGAAATCATCTGCTTATTCAGTCAAACTCGGAAATCAAGAAACACTTCTGGACGTAATAAGGATGACAAAGAATCTTACCTTATAGTTCATGAAGAGACATTAAGCGACATAGGAAATGGGCTATACACTAACTGCACTCTTGTTCGGAAGGACAAGAGGGAGATTGAAAGGAATGATGTCCTTCCAATAAGTGTATTATTCTGATAGAGGGTTCAGAATTATTAGAAAGCTAATTCTTCAGTGAGGTCAAGTGATCGAAATGCCTAAGTGGAGGCCGCTTCCGATCAGTAATATTAATGGGTAATTAATATTACGGCTTAATCTTGACTGAACCCTTCGGGTCGCACCCCAATCAAGTAACCGATCCGAGACAAGGAATCAATCCAAAGGATTAGATGAGTCACTAGAGTATTACGAACAAAGACGTCAGATATCGAGCTTAAAGCGTCTAAACCAAGCGTCACAAGTTAAGTCGAATTTAGAATTCGACAAGACGTAGAATCAAGCAAGCGACAAGTACGAGCCAAGCCGTAGCATTGCATTGGCCTAGCCATGCGAGTGCTAGGCTAGGCGAGGTCCCAAAACGCATGCGTGCTTGCGTGCCAAGCATTGCCCAGCACTCGCACATCGCACAACATGAGCATCGCAAGTTGCGTGCCATGCGTGTGTGTGTTGTGGCTATGTGTGCTTGCTAGCATAGCAGCACCAAGCAGCAGCAGCTAGGCCTCGCTCATCTCTAGCACACCCGCAACGCATCGCTGCAGCAGCAGCAGCCCGCAATGCATGTGTGGCTTGCTTGCTGCGCGCATGCGAAGGCAGGCTGGCCAACAAACCCAACCTTGGTGCTAGGCGCTAACTGGGCAGGCTTGGCAGCCAAGGCAAGCTGCCAGCCAACCAAGCATGGGGGACTGTTGTACGGTTTGTAGAGGGAACCAGTTTTGGGAATTGCTTGGGGAGCAAGGGGAATTTGGTCCCCCCCCCCCCTAAATGGTCCTCACCTACTCTTGCTCACCATTTGCCACTTGGCGCTTGTTGATTCATTTTTCTTTTTAATTTGTATTTAGATTAAAATAATTTGGGAAAAATGCAATTCTCCCACATTGATGGGAAATGGGAAATCAAGGCTCCCTTCCTATAAATACCCAAGTTTTGGGTTTCGGAAAAAGCACTTAAGTTGAAAGTGAGAAAACCTTTAAATTCGTAATACTCTAGTTTTTCTTTGGTCTAGCCCGACTAACCTTCAGGGTAGAGACCGCTCAGGTCGGTCGAGGTTGCGAGCCGTCGGAGGCCTACGCACTTGCGAGGCTAGAGGTTCAAGTAAGAGCTCGTAAGCGAGCGAAGCACGCGTCGAGGGTAAGAATGTCTTTTATCTTTCTCTCTCTTTGTTACCTTAATTAGTGTGCGGGTCTTGGGCGGGTTTCATTCCGCGTAGTGTCGGACATTAAGAAACCCAACAACACATTATTGCAAATTTTCAGCATTGCTATATCTCTAACATCTTCCCCTTCGATTTGTTTTCTTTAGGATCTTGATTGTGATATCTTGAGGGATAAATCTCCCAAAAACAATCACCCTACTAGCTTTGTTCTCAATTATATGAGAATCTAGTTATTCAAAAAAAAAATTAATAATAATAATAATAAAATCGGGTATATTACAATAAATTTATTTTAGGTGTTTTATTTTGACATGGAAGTATTTTGATACTCATTTATGAAAAAATTGTATCATATAAGACTGCAATCTATCAGAACAAATAATAAAAATATTATTATCAATTAAATCAAATAAGAAAAAAAAAACCAATTAATTGATCCCATTTGTACGAGAATTTGGAGTTTGGACGACAACCAATAAGTTAGGGTAAGTTCAAAATGCTTGGAAAATATAAGGTGGTAAATAGCAGAATTTTTTTAAAAAAAATTATAATGTAGTTTTATTATTGTCAAAATAGCAATTTGAGGGAAAAGAGTATAACCTTAGCGGTTTATAGTAGTCCCACTAATTGTCTTAGGAACGATTTCCCTAAAAAATTGCTTAATTGTAAATTAATTTCCTATGCGTTAGTTTCAAAATTTATTCTCACAATATTGTTCACGTAGGATTGGTAGAAGCTTTGTTTTGTTTTTTTTTTCAATCAAAGAACCGCTAACGATGATAGCGGTTCTATACTTATGAAATCGCAAACGATGTTAGCGGTTCTTGTACTAGGTTCTAACCTGTGAGGTTTCCTAATACAAGAACTGCTAATATCGTTCGCGATTTTATAAGTATAGAACCGCTATTACTGTTAGTAGTTCTTTTCTGAACCTAAATTAAAAAAGTAAAAAATTAAAAAAGTAGCTTCTACCAATCCTACGTGGATACTATTCTGGGAATAAGTTTTTAAACCGAAGCAACTAGGGAATTAATTTACAATAAAGCAATTTTTAGGGAAATCGTTCTGGTCTTGGTGGTTTTACCCTTTTACTACCAAAACATATATACTTTAGCCCATGATAAACAACATTGGAGATAAACTTGAATTTTATTAATTTAAGGTAGAGCTGGCAAAAGCCAACACAACAGGACACAAACCAAATACAGAAAAATAGGGTTAGTCTAGGGTTTTTGACACGGTTATTTAAATGGGTCAACACGACTAGGGTTGTACACGGTTTGGTTCTATGCGGTTTGGGGGTCAAACCGCACTTAACCGCAATTTTACGGTTTGAATTTTTCCCAAACCTCATTCCTAGCCAAAGCGCAATTTAAATTGCGATTTGATGCGGTGCGGTTTGTGGTTTAACTGCAATTTTTCAAAGAAAAAAGAACACCTGCTTAAATTAATTGAGAATCTAACATACAATTAAACTAATTAGTTGAGAATGGAGGCAGTAACTCGGATGGAGGCAACAAAATTAGAAGCGAGAGAAAGTGGAGGGAGGTAAATAGGCAACTAGTTGAGTGGAAAACAATAGTTAATTTACTAATTTAACTTTCATAAAAATAAAAGAGAAATTTTTTTTTTTTTTGTTTGCAACCAGGGAAATTTTACGTGTCTACCATATATATCAACTAGTATAGTACCCGTGCGATGTACGATTTATAAATTAAATTACTAATCCCGTAGGAAAAAAACAAATATAATTCAATTAGTAATAAAGGGCTCATTTACTAATGGTCGATACAAAAATAAAGGAATGTAATTTGAATAGTATTCTAAGTTATTTGTATTTCTTTTATAAATTCATTTTATTAATTGAAAAATAAATGAATATTGCTCCACATAACTATGTAAGAGAAGTTGACTCATTCATTTCCTATCTCCCGTAGAGAAAAAAACTAAAATTTTCTTGTCATACCTTCTGCTTCAGTAGCTACAATCTAATATAAAGTACATGTTTACCTGTCGTATTCACAAAAATATTTTATTATTATTAGGGTATTTTGGATTTTAACACCTTACAAAAGGCTGAAAATGTTTTTTAACACCCCCCAAAAAAAACTTTTATTTTAACACCTCCCAAAAATATAAAACTTGGAAGTTAACACCAAAATCCATCTTCCGTTAACAGAACTGTTAGTGGGGCCCACCCCAACGGATATATTTTTAAAAGATCTGTATATAAGAACAATTCTTCCACGATTCTTGCACGATATATAAGAACCATTCTTGCACGATTCTCCCCCAATGAACGAAATCGTTGTTCTTATTGAATAGCAGCAGCGCATTGCATTGTTGCACGATACTTAAAACAATTCTTGCACGATTCTTCCACGATTTTTGAGAAGAGGAACAGATTGAAGCTGCTGAAACAGGTGAGTGCGGTCAATTGTTCGGTTGTTTGGTAATTATGGTTTAAATTCTCTTCAATTATTATTTGCAATTGTTTCGTACTCGGATTAATGGTTGGATTATGTTATGTACGCATCTAAATGCCCAATTGCGAAATTAGGGTTCGTCAGAACTTGAATTTGGGGCTTTTCGTATTATGAAATTAAAAATGAATTTTGTTGCTATCAATGTTAATTCGTCAGTGTACAAATCTGTAAATGTGACTGTCGATCTAAAATTGATGCAGATTATGTCGTTTGTTAGCTCTTCCCCTCCTGAGGCCAGAAAATGTAAGTGTGGTGTGCCAATGGCCAAGCTCACTAGCTGGACAAGGGAGAATCCAGGCAGGAAGTTCATATCATGTAAGTTTTATGACCCAATAACAGAAACAAGGGTTGCAAAGCTTTCAAATGGGTTGATCAACCTGATGGAACAGATTGGCAAACAGGGGTTATCAACAACCTGTTGTTGGATAAGAAGCTGCTAAAGGGTGAAGTTAATGAATTGAAAAGGGAAGTTGATGAAATCAGTGGCCAAAGGAGGTGCCTACTTAATGAAGTTGATAATTTGAAGATGAGATGCAAGGCCTTGAACGCTGACAGGAAGAGAATGAACAGGGAGTGCAATGAAGGGAAGGTGTCTTCAATCGACTGGTTTGGTTGGGTGGGCATGGCCATTTGTATAGGTTTGTCAATGGGTGTAGTTTTCCTAATGGCTAGGGGTGTGTAATAGTAAGCTGTATTAAGTAGTTATAATTTCTTGTAATGACTTGAAGTGTTATAAATATGTCTTTTAATCAACCTATTTATGTCTTGTCTAAGTTGTTAAATTGAGAATGTTTAAACATTGGAAAATGATTTAAACATGTGAAACATTAAAACATGGGAAATATGTGAAACACTAAGATAGTTCAAGTACAGGTTGACAAAAGAACCTTACTTCAACATGTTTCAATGGCAATCAAAGCCATGCAACCATTACAATTCAATATCTAATTGTTCAAATTTGTTAAGGGAAGCCACTAAAAAACTAGCAAGTTACATAACCAGTCATGAGTACATAATAAAAGTTTGAAATTGTTCAACAGACATAATGTTTGATATCCAGCATGAGTACATCACTGAGTAAGGTTGTTGAGGGATTGCAGCCTGGCCCTTGTTACAACACCTGTGGCTGTTGTAGGCTGACTTGAGGAAGACCTTGTCTTTCTTTTTGGTTGGCTTGAGGCAGGCTGACTTGAGGCAGGCTGACTTGAGGAAGGCTGAGCTGAGGATGGCTGACTTGAGGATGGCTGAGCTGAGGAATGCTGAGCTGAGGAAGACTGTGGCTGTGGGCGCTTGCTGAATGGCAGACAACCTTCTTGCTCTTGAGGAAACTTTTTGTTTCCTATGCTGTTTGGTCCAGCCCCAATTGCACTCTATGACATGCATATCAAAATAAAAAGTCAATGGAAAAAACACATACATATATAAAACAAAGGGGGAGTTGGTGTAATGCTTGTGTTACCTTTTTAGCAGCCCTAATCTCTTTCTTCTTCCTCTCCTCCACCATCCAAGGAGTGTTCAGTGGGGGTCTGCCTGCTGACTTTATCAGCTCTGTAGCTGGTGCAGCAGGTACTTTGCAAGTCTTGGCATAATGCCCAAATCCCCCACAGTTGCTGCATTGCTTCTTCCTCTTGGTACTTGCCTGACCACCTGAAGAAGAACATTCTCCTAGCTCAAGCTTCCTTTTTTTGCTCTTTGGTCTCCCAGGTTGCACCTTAATAGAAGGGGGTAGTGGTTCCCTCATTCTGACTCTCTCCCAGTGCTTTGGGCCAGGCATTGGTTGGACAGCTGGTTCATAAGCAGACTTGTATGTGTCCATGGTATAGTATGGGTCAACAGCAGCCTCTATGTCACCCCTCATATCCAATATGCAGGCATAAGCATGAACACATGGAATGCCAGTGAGTTCCCAATGGTTACATGTGCAGGTCTCCTTGTCCAAATCAACCAACACCTGGTCATCCTTCAGCTGCACCTCAAATGTATTCCCTCTGGATGGCTGCACCACACAGGACCTAGCCACAAAGTCTATCCTCCCCAGAACATGCCTCACATATGGCACTAAGTTGTGTGTAACTGTTTTTGAATCCTCCCACTTTTCATTATTCCTGTTCATAATATACCTCCTCATCCATTCCATTTGGGTGAGGATAGGTTTATCTCTGGCAGGCCTAATGACTGCATTGAAAGTCTCACACATGTTGATCAACAACATGTTGGACTTGCAGTTTGGTGTGAATGCATGTCTAGACCAATGGTGGGGAGGAATGTTGATTAAATACTCATATGCCTCTTCATCGAGGAATTTGATAGACTCCATGGCAATTTCATGCTCAAACTGACATATAAAAGCATACCAGAAATCACACCAAGCATATACAAGCTAACCAATATAAAAACACACCAACAGTCATATAAAATCATAGTCTAGCTTCAACAATCAATAAACTTACAATGGTGGTGGCCCTAGCTGCTCTCCAAAACAGCTCCTTAAAGGTTGATCCAGTGAAGTTGAGCTTGAAGTTAGCCCAAATATGCCTCACACAAAACCTTTGCTCAGCTTTGGGAATAACATCAGCCATTGCTTTAATCAAACCCTACCAAATGCAGACAAAAGTATAATCATCAGCCAATCACATACATACACATGAAAACTTAGAAATTGAACCTAAATAGTTAAGAGGGAAACAGAAGCATTACCTTTTGCCTGTCAGACATGATGGTCATCCCAGCTCCTTGATCATGTGTGAACATTGACATAAGGGATTCTAAGAACCAACCCCAAGTTTCCTGGTTTTCAATCTCCACTGTGGCCCAAGCTAGAGGAAACAAGTTGTTATTCCCATCCTTAGCAACTGCCACCAGAATTTGCCCAGGAAAGGCACCCTTGAGGTGACAACCATCCAACCCTATTAAAGGCCTACAACCCTTTGCAAATCCATCTCTCAATGGCCTTAAACAGATGAACATCCTCATGAACAATGGTGGCTCTGGCCTGTCAATACCATCAACAACAACATTGCACCCTGAACCAGGGTTGTACTTCATCACAGCTTTCCCATAATCCCACACCCTAGCATACTGCTCCCTAGCTGAACCAAATATTAGTAGTTTTGCCCTACACCTAGCTAGCCATGCCTTATAGTAACTCACATCAACTCCTAAATCATTCAAAATCCTAGCCCTAATCTCCTTAATTCTCCAACCAGGGTTACTCCTAAACTCTTCTAAATACCTCTCTGCTATGTATTCAGCAGTAAGCATCTTGTTCTTCTTTACTCTGAAGCAGGAATGGTCTAAATTCAAGGTTTTGATTTGCCAAGTTTGCTGCTTAACAAGTTTTGATGCAAACACCTTGAACTGACACTTTACCCCCCCCCCCCCACACATGTACAAGAAGGCATTCTACAAGTGTAGCTATTGAACTCACAGCCACATCTATATCTACACTGAACTGTAACCCTTGTACTGTCATTATGCAAGTAGTAGAACTCATACCTGTTTTGAATGGCATGAAGTCTTAAGGCCATCCTCAAGACTGAAGCATTACTGAATTTCTGATTTAACTTCAACTTGATTGGGTTGTTAAAGTCCACATCAGCATTAAACCAAGGAGCATAGTCCTGTTCCTCATCAGATCCACACAAACTCCTTGAATCATCTGAATCAGCATGACTTTCTGGATTCACCTTCGGTTTTCCAACATCCAAATCATCTCTCAACTCTACCCTCTTATCTTTGCCAACCCTGTCATCTACTGCACTCTCCAAACCTTTCCTAAGGCTCTTGTTCACTTTGGACAAGATCTCCTTTGACCCTTCAATATACCATTCCTCATCCCCTTCATCAAATTCTTCTTCACCAGGTTCCCAATCTTGTCCCTCATCACTCAAATCTGAACTTGAATAACCAGATCCTTCACATCCATCATCCTTTTCTTCATCAAACCTCAACACTTTAGCATTAGCTGAGGCTTTCCTAGGTGGACTCTCCTCCCTTTGTTCAGTTTATGTCTTCTTAAACCTAGGGCTCCTCCTAATAGTCGATGTATTTGAACTTTCTACCTTCTTATCCTTTTTTTTTTCTTTGCAGGATTGGGTTGGGCCTCTGGTATGGGCTGACTAGGAGCTTCTGTTGTTACAAAAACCTCAACATACCCCTCTTCATTTACTGTCTCCAAAAGGCCCTTAACCTCTTCACTGTTAACTAGTTCCCTTTTCCCAGTGTTAAAGGTTTTCCCCTTCTGCCTATACCAACAGCTGTAATGCATAGGCACATCCATATCACCATTAACAAAACCATGAATTGCAGCTGTTCTAATCAAATGCACATCCAACTTAGATACTTGAACCTTCCTCTTCCAGTAACACCAACCACCACACCAACACAGCAGCTGCCTGTTTTTGGTTACTCTTTTAGGGACAAAAGCACCTCCCACTCTAAGGCAGATGTCAACCAAACTATCCTTGTCACCCATTATCTACCCACCAGTGAAAAACATATAAAACATATTAAAAGCCATGTAACTATACATGCACAATACGAATAAACAAATTCATCACAGCCACACAAACAAACACATAAAAAAATTGAAAATAAACATATACAAGCCAATGTAGGTGCTCAGTAACATAAATTAATCAACAAACCACACTTGCTAGTTTAATTAATAATAAACCACCTTAATTAATCTCTACTTTCAATTACGAAATCCAATTAACCTAAGTCGCATAGTCAGTTACAGAAATTGATTTATCAAGGCTTTCCTACTGTGGTCCCAAAATTTACCCTAATTACCCAATTATTGCAAGGTTTACAGCAATGAAGCACCAGTAATTGACGAAATTTCTATCAAAGGAGAGCAATTTTACCTTATTTTCTGTGAATTTCAAGCAGCTTTCGCACTTTTGTAGTTGAAGAAGATGATGAAGAAACCCTCCTGAGCTTATCTTCTCCAACGTTGACACCACCCTACACTCCACTTTTCAGCCAAGATCTCCTTTGGTTCAAAAGCGAAATCAATGAAGGTTCAGAAAGAATTCAATGCAGACGGTTGGTGCGAATTCAATGAAGAAAGAAGTTTCGTGTTTTGCTGGGTGAAAATTGAAGTTCAAGCCAATTTGTGGGACCCACGTTAAATTTCCGTGACGGAAATCGTTAACTGGTGTTAACTTCCAACTTTGATATTTTTGGGAGGTGTTAAAATAAAAGTTTTTTTTTGGGGGGTGTTAAAAACCATTTTCAGCCTTTTGTCAGGTGTTAAAATCCAATTTTTTATTATTATTATTATTATTATTATTATTATTATTATTATTATTATTAAAATAAATTTAGCATAAGTTTTCCTTGGAAAATATTTTTTAACTTTTAGATGTATATTTTTTTATCTAAGTTAATTTAATTTTACGTTAGGTATGTGTAGTAAAAATTTGGAAATTCTATATTTATTTTATATTACATTAGATATATATGTAGTCTAAAATTACATAGAATGGAAAATATTAATTACAAAAATGAAAAGTATATGAATCAATATAATCACAAATATATTATATGATTTGGTGAATTTTTGTGTATAACTTATAGTAGGTAATTAATGTCATTGGCTAAAAAAAAACAAGGAAAAACAGGGGAGGGGATTTTGGAGGGAAAAAAACAGCACCAGGAAATAACACGCGTCATTCCTAGTGTTTAGGGTAAAAATACCCTGCCCACGTGACCCAATAATATGCTGACACGTGTCAGCCTCAGAGAAGCCCAAGGGGATCCAATCCTCCGCTGACACGTGGCACCTTAACCCTAAAAGGGGAATTGATCCCCTTCCACTATAAATAGGGGAAAATCCTCATTTATTAAATATTTACAAACATTCATAAATACATACACAAAAAACCGAGCAATATAAATTGCAAAATTCTCTCTGAATTAGAGAGAAAAACCTTTACATTCCGCACTTTATTACATCCGGAAGCGTTCTAACTTGATCGTCTGAGACGGAACTCCACCCAACCGGAGTTTCCGTGGTTTTGCGGGTACAGAAGGTCGACGCGCATTCTTGGAATTGTAACTCTCCCGAGGGACTCCAAAAACCCCGAAACATTTGGTGTCGTCTATGGGGAGAGTACTTCTGAGATGGCATCCGAATCTGTACCACCTGTTGAGGGCAAACGACCTATGGCCGAGACTGAGGTCCACACCGACCAAGATAGTGGTGATGACTTTGAAGTCGACACCTCTGTGGCCCCACACGGGTCATTCAGAACAAGACGCACTCGTTCTAAAGAAACAAGGGAACGGGGCGAAGATAAAGCTGGTCCTAGCAACCCAACCGTCAAACCGGCTTGGAGACCCCAGGCAGCGGAAGAAGCTGCCCTCGTAACTAGAGACGAACTCGTGAAATTCATGACGAGTTTCAAAGGGGAGATCAAGGACCTGATAAACAAGTCAGCTGGCACCAACAAGGGTCAGTCGGCCAAGAAGCCTTCGCCCTCCGGGAAGAAGCATATCAAAGATTGTGTGCCTACACCTCACCCTAAACCAAAAAGGGCGGACGGGCCCATGATCGACCTATCCAAACTTCATTACCCTAAATCGGGCAAAGGAAGGCCATCCGGCAAGTTCAGTCGGTGGGTCAAAAAAGACTTACTCATATGCCCGGATGTTCATCCAGGAGAAGAGAAGACAACAATTGTCTGAGTCGGCCTCAACGTCGACTTACCCAGACAGTTTTCGGAATATTTCAATGAAGTATTTGGAATCAATCCGAGAGAGTCAGTCACGCGACATGTCCGCACGTACTGGCCCTCAAATTATCCAGCCGCCTCCGTATGTGCCCCAACAGCCATACATATTGTATGGATCACCATATATGCAGCCAGCCCTCTTTGGGGCTCAGGCGGCACAGCAGGTCCAGCCCATGGACTGGCAGCTCCGGCTGCTAAACCTTGGGGAATAGCCGTCAGCGTTCTCCAGGGAGATAACCGAGGCGGCTCAGCCGACGAAGGTTAAGTACGTGTTGGTTGGTACTTATGACGGTACCACCAACCTAGAAGACCACCTAATGGCTTACACCAACCTCATGTACTTACAGGGGTTGGATGATGTCGCATGGTGCCGATGCTTCCCGGAAACATTGAAAGGCATAGCCCAACAATGGTTTGGCAATCTGCCAGGCGGATGCATCAACAACTTTAAGACGCTAGCATACCTGTTCGTATCCAACTTCTCCGTGAACATCCATGCCCAAAAGACAAATCTCGACTTGGGGGCTATTCAGCAGGGAGACAAGGAAGGACTAAGGTCCTATGTCAGGCAGTTCAATCTAATGAGAATTCAGATCCAAGGGCTGTCTGACGAAGTTGCCTATACAGACTTCTTTAAGGCTCTGAAGGACGGGTCGACCTTTAAGTTCGACCTGGTCAGAAATAGGGTTACTACCCTGCAAGAGGCATTGACAGAAGCCAAAGCCTACATACAGGCGATGGAGCTCTGTGCCATCAAGCACTCAGTGGACCCTAAAAAGTCCGACAGAAAGGAGAGCCGGTCTGCTCAGCCGGCTAAAAAAGAAGAGAGCAAGAAAAGAAAAGAAGTCAGGGCGGCGAACCATTCTGGTCAGCGTCCC